GCACCGATGCTGGGTCAAGGATGGGCGTTGTCAGGATCGGTGCATGTGCGTAGTTCTCTTCGCCCGAGAGGGGGGGGGATAATTTTCGTCGCGCGTTAACGTGCGTTTGGGGGGGAGGGGAAGGGGGACACGCCGTCGGAAGGCTAGTCGCCCCCGCCCCCCGGAGTATCATGCCATCCAGAGTACCCCTCCGAACCCAAGTTTTTTTCGCAATCCTCGTACCAGCTGCATCCTCGACTTGGCTGTTCTTAAACATGCCATGAGGCGTTTGGAAACGCCAGGTGTCGCTCTTGACTCGACCAAAGCGCTCTGAAAACAGCAACCTGGAGTGTGGTCAGGCAAGCGGAAGTGCGTGACTGCCTACCAGAGCACCCCAACCCAACCCAGACCCGAATTTCGGGTTGGGGGGGATGCGGGTTCCATATGTGTTTTTCATTTCAATGTTCCCCGACCCCCCACCACTGGAAACGGAGGACAAATCGGGGCCTTCAGGTTGAGCTCGGGTGGTTTGGTGGGCGGTGAGGGCGATAACAAAACACGGAACGAAACATAATTCAATCCTGGAAAAAAAAAAGGGGGGCCACGGGCCGGTCCCGGACATGATCACGTAACAATACATGGCGCCCCAAACGAACAAAGCACGTCGCCCGCGAGCACAGAAGCAGCAAGTGCCCCCAACGTGTCACGAGTTGCTCTGCCAAGCTGCCCCAACAGGCGCCCGTGTGCAGGGACTGCGCGGGAGCGCTGGTGACAGCGAGGGGACTGAGAGCAGAAGGCCAGGGCAGAAGCGCAGATCTGCTGAGCGAGCTGGAGCGGAAAGACAGAACAAATCAGCGAACCACCCCTTGCTCGGCGACCACTCCATTGGCAAGCTCTGGCGGCAACTTCCGCTTCCGCCCTGCACCAGCCGCGGGGCCGCCTGGTGGCGAGCCGGGCGCAACCGTGGGCGGCGCAGGCGAGCCGCAAGGGGAGCCCGGCGCCGCCGCGCCGCAGCTGGCAGGAGTGGCGAACGCCACCCGGGCTGTGGCAACGGCGGCGGCGGGCTCCGGGGCGCTCTTGGCTGTCGCACCCTCCCGCGGTGCCCGCGCTTCCTCCGTCGACGGCACGAGCACGGCGCGCTGCGCGGCGTGCAGAGACCTCCTGCTGGACTCGAGACTCGCAGACGCGCCGCGGCTCCGTCAGTAGCTCGCACAGGCGCTGGGACGCAAGAGGCGCACCTTGCCGGCAATGCTCGAGCAGGGGCCGCGTCAGGGGCTCCACGCTCCACGGAGCGCTCCTCGAAGGATTGCCCCTCTGGCAGAGGCACGCCCTGGACATCATGCCAGAACTCGGCCACCACCCGCTCCAACCTCCGCGCCATCAGGTACCGCAGCGCGCACCACGGGCAGCCGTTTGCTGCGCCGGTGTGCGCCACCTCCTTCACAGTGGCCTCGAACTCCGCGGAGAGCGCGGCGTTGCCAGACACGGCCTCAGCCTTGTCGGCAGCTGCGCACTCCACGAGCACGGCACTCCTCGCTACCAGGGCACCCTCCCCGCTGCCGCTGGGAAGTTCTGCCGCCAGAGGCCCTGCCGAGGAGGGCCGGCCCTCGGAAGCAGGGCGCACCCTGGCCGCCTGGAAGGCTTGAGTCACCATGGACACGGACCAGACGTGTCACAAAAATGCAGTCCGTCCATTTGCGCTGTCCATTGCCGAGACCGCCTGAGCGCGCGTGCGAGCTGCCCCTGCCGCGCCGCGACGTAAAATGTCTAGAGCCATCTGAGATCTACGATCCTCCATCCTCGGAGCCGGGGCACAGCTGGAGGCCGCCCAACTGCTGGCTGCAAGGCTCGTGCCGCACCGCCGCCGCGGCATGTGCTCACCCCAGTCCGTGCAGACCAGGGCCAGCCTGGCCTCGCAGGCTCCCGGCAGGTCCTGCAGGTTCCTGCGGGGTCCTGCACCCCAGCCCAGGTCAGTGCAGCCTTGGCCCCGCGGGATCCCTGCACGACCCGTATGGCCATCGCTCGGACGTCCATTCCCTGTGTTTTTTTCGGTTTCGTGCGTGTTTTTTCGCCAAATGATCGAGGATGCTCCTCGATGGCCCTCGCCGAGAAAAAATGCACACGTCCGAGCGATGCCAGGTTCACGGACCCCCGTCCCTCCAATCCTCCACGCCGGCGCATCCGCGCCCCGCCCGCGGACAACCGAGCGGGACTCTCCGAGCCGATCCGCGTCGCCGATGCCGGGCGGCGTGGCGCACTCGTCCGACCAGACCTGCTCGGGCCCCGAATCGGGCGGCCTGGAGAATCGGAGGAGGGCCACTGGGCGTCGCTGATTGGTGGGGCAATCAAATGGGGAGGGGGGGGAAAGGTGCACTTCTCGGGCGCACAAGGCCTCCTTCTGGGCCCGAAAATGGGTAGCTTAGGGCCAAGGGGGTCTTCCATGTAATGTGGCCGCAAAACAATGTGCAACTGTTTCTCCTGCAGCGCATGGCGCGTGGCAGCCACGTGCGAATACTGTACGACGTGCGTGTCCCGCACGAACGATGCCACGAACCACTGCGTGCATGTCTGAGACCCCCTCTGCTCAGGACCCATTTGGCCCGCATCCGAGGAGGGCCAGTTGAGACAACGGCGGCCAGCCCAAGCCTGCCCCAAACCGGTTCCCGGAACCCTCCTGGGGTCCATCCTGACCCTGACCGCCCAGAGTGCTAAAGAGTAGCCCTCCAGACCTATAGAAGACCTATCCGGGCTGCCTCACACGTCGCAAGGAATTCAGACGTCGAGGTCCTGGTGCTACTTTTTCTACCCCTCCTGGGAGGTCAGGGTCCCGACCCGGTCGGGACCCGCTCCTCCAAGCCGATTCGGCCTTGGTGGCGAGAGGCCTCCAGCCAGGAGGCCAGGAGAGGAAGAACGGCGCCCAGGGGGGCAGGGCCACCGTCGTCTCGAGGTCGTCGTCGTCGTCGTCGTCGTCGTCGTCGTCGTCGTCGTCGAGGTCGTCGTCGAGGTCGTCGTCGAGGTCGTCGTCGTCGTCGTCGTCGACGTCGTCGTCGTCGTCGTCGTCGTCGTCGTCGTCGTCGTCGTCGGCGTCGAGGGCGTCGTCGAGGTTGACGTCGGCGCTCCGAGAGAGAACCCCAGTCTGGAGCGCCCCGTCTGCGCGGGCCGCGCCCCGCGGCCGCGGCCAGCGAAGGGGAGGGGCAACGTCGGGGGGTGGGGCCGGCTCAGGGGGCGGTTCGGCGGCAAGCCCCGGGGGGAAGCGAGGAAGGGCTGGGCCTTCTCTTAAGTCGGGCGTGTCCCCCTACAGGGGGGTTTCCGACAAAAGATAAAAAAATACCCGAAACATACCCCAAAATTGTCAAAAATACTCAACAAATAATTCCCAGACTATGTTTGAACTATTTTTGAATTTTCCAGGGGCGAGCCCCAGTGGGAACCGAGGAAGGGTCGGGCCTTCTCAGAATCGGGTGCTGCTAGAAGTGCCCCTGGCCCCAGGTGCCCCCAGCTGTCCGTTCCATTCTGAGCCCCGGAGGCCCTCTGGGCCTCGTGAAGGGTACCACAGAGGCCATTTGGGCCATCCCGAGAATCCTGGGGGTACCTTGGGCCAGGGGTACTTCTAGCAACACCCGACAGAAGGCTCAGGAGCCCCCGGAGACAGAGAACACTTTGCAGAAGGCTGGGGGGCTCCTGAGGAGCCACGTCGCCTTCTGAGGTTTTCTCCTCGATGCTCCCCCTCGCTCGCCGCCGAGTAGTGGGGAAGGCATCGGCCTGGAATGGTACGCACAAGGAAATACTAGCACTGGGTGTCCTCGTTGGAAGCGTGTCCGACGCGAACATATGGCAGAACCATCTTGTAGTACATCGTTTCCCTGGCGGGTCAGCCAGAAAGCGCCCACCACCGAACATATACGATAAAATTTCACGGCGAGCGCGTCGCCCTGGGGG